TAATATCTCATGTTCGTTAGAAGGCTGCTGCATAATTAGAGGCGGAAAAACTGATGGATGGGGGAGCAGGGTGGTGTGATGCTGAGCGGTGTGACCCCGCTGACCTTGTTATCATTATGGGTGGCAGGGTTGACCAGTCCAGCCACTGCTTCAGCAAGCAGCTGTTGCCTTTAATGGCATCATTTGCTCTTCACCTTGTCACCCCCTCTACCTTTCTCTCACTAACTCTCTCTCTGTCTCTTCCTCTCTGTGGTATCTCATCTCACGGTCAAGGGCAGTTGAGAGCATGCCAAATCTGACTGGCAGCAGCCTCATCAAGGTGAGGACTCAGATAGTCATCTAGTAACAGTACCACCAAGTGAGGTTGATTCTTCTGGAAATCTTAAAAAAATTCCACCAAATATTATTTTTAATAAACATTTAAAAATAGACTACATATGCATTTACAAACAAATTACTTTCTACATGACTACAAAATATGACTATACCATAAAGTAGATACAGTGGCCCCAAAGAGTGGGTGAAGACCTAAAGAACATGTCTGACTATTATTGCATTATATAAGAAAATATCAAACTGAGTTGCCTCCACTTTAAAGACAGAGAGCACAAGCAAAGAAGTAATATTTTAAACAGATATAGCATTCAAAAAGAAAAAAAAAAGAAAAAAGTACTTGGACACTTACCAATTGTAAGTTGCCAATTTTGAGAACTAAACCTGATATAGGAAACCTGCATAAGTGACTTTATATATCCACTAAAATCACCAGTTGGGTAATAGAAATTGTAATTAAAAGTGAGATTAAAGGGGTCATATGATGTTGCTAAAAAGAACATTATTTTGTGTATTTGGTGTAATGAAATGTGTTTATGCGGTTTAAAGTTAAAAAAACACATTTTCCACATACTGTACATTTCGCTTTCACAATGAAACACACGGCGGGCTAGAGTGAGCGGAGGCCGGGGGGCTTGCGAACGGTGCCGCCGGCGGATTCGACGAAGGAGCGTCCGGCGGGCTTGTGGCAACAACATGTGGCGAACCCAAGCTGGACTCCGCTTCGTCCACTGTGAAAGCCGATTCGGCGATCCACAGCGCGAAGTTGATGTATTTCCTTAGCGACCAGCACGGATCAGCTCCAGGCATGACGAAGCGGATATCGTCCTCTTTTGGAAGGCCAAACAAAGTAGTTTTGCTTTCACAACGAAACACACAGCGCCTTCACGACATGGTGGCGGCAGCAACAACAATTCTACAGCGAGAATAAAAGTTACGCCTTCTTTCTTTGCGTGCACATTTGGGCGGCGTTATGCAAATCTTCCCACATCGTGACGTAGACCTGTGTGGGGGCGTGTTAGAACGAGCCGTTTTAGGTAGGCATGGTTGAATCTTAACTTTTATAAAGAATATCTCTTTGGCGGGCGGGCAGGCAGAGAGAGAAAGAGAGAAAGAGAGAAAGAAAGAAAGGAGATTTTCTTAATGATCTAACAACTCCTTGTGCAAGTAAGGGTGACAGAGACACAGATGTTCCTTTTGTTTTTCTCCTTACAAATGCTGAAAATATTGCTCGGTAGCTGCTTGACAAATGTATCATTAAAAATCCAGCACGGCTGGCACACTTTGGATACGTGTGAGGAGGTGCCGCGGCCGCCTCATCAGCGAGCACGTGATGGGGAACTTCAGCTTTAAGAGAATGAATCTCCTGCTGTGGGATTAAATTGAGTTCTCTGGTAGCTTGATGAGTCAGTCTCATACGCACACAGTCTGAGGCAGCTTGAAGGCCAGGCGACAAGGCAGACTCTCCTAAGCTCACTGATTTAAGTGGCAGTTCAGAGCTCGGCCATCTGCACTATTTGGGTCAAGGACTTTGTGTTTCGATGTGCATATAAGACGATGCAGTGCTTATTAAACTCTAGCTATGGTGGTATCTCAGTGTAGTGAGGGTTTTGGAGAGCTCCTAAGCAGGTGTACTGTCAGAGAGATAGGGAGGGTGGAGTGAGAGAGAATGAGAACGAAAGCTGCAGAGTGCCGCAGTGCTTGAGCTCACCTTGTCAAGCCCCTCTCTGCGGGCAGGCCTTGCCCTTGCAAACAGCAAACCACCAGGCGGGTGTCTCAGCCATGTAGAACTAGAGATACTGGCCTATTAAAAGGAACATTTCGGTTTAGTGCAAGTTAAGTTCAATCAACAGCATTTGTGGCATTATATTGATAACAGAAATGATGAGGCTACTGTGTGGCAGTTAAATTAATTTTTAATTTACTATGTAACCGAAGTAGCGACAGATCATTGCATCCTTGTCATGACCATAGACTGTATGGTCATGACTCATGTACATCCAAGTGAAAAAAGATTATTGGAAAAAAAAAAAAAACGAATTGTGGCCGGACTTGGTTTTACACATCAGGCTAAATAATTGGCTAAGTCATGTATGTCACAACAGAGAAATCTGCCATTTCACTGAAAGACCAAGTTATGACATTGTAATGAAAAATGATGAAAAAAAAAAGCATGCATTGTTCGCAATAAAATCATTAAGATGCTTTTGGAAAATAGTCATTTAGCAAATAGAAAATGTCATGCAAGCAGAAAAGAAGCTTATGATTTTGTAATAGTAAGGTAGCCTTTATGAGCGGTGGGTGGACTAAGAGGTCTTGTGTGTTTGACAGTTTGGAGGGAAAGCAGGGAATGCTAAATGTCAATGGCTAAGCTGTGTTACATACATTTTTCTGTTAAAACGTGAATTATTAACGTGCCCATAAAGCTGTTTAAATTATTTTTACGGCCGGTTTGTAGTTTATAGCTGCAAAATTGGATAAATTGTGTTACCACGCATATTGTTCACGTTTGGTGGCTATACAAAAATTTTAATGCTTACATATTTGGCCCCGTTCACTTCATTTTAAGTGCCTCGGTGTAAAAACAGATTTGCCTGTTTAAGAAAAGGAGGGAAGGGTGGAAATAATTTTTGCTGCAATCAACATTGTCAAACATGTTGTTGTTTACCTTGTAAAAAAAGTTGTTTTTCCTTTACCTTTCACGGAAGCTACGTCGCTCTGAAGCGGCTTCCGTCGAGCACAGCGTGGTAGCTCGCTCCATATGTTTACTTCTCTCGGGTACGTTTCTTCTCCCTTCCACTATTTTGCAGCCTCTGATTCCGGCAGCTTCAAAGAACCACAAAATAAACACAAATGCAAACTTATCTCTTCGCATTAGCGCATCACAACAACAAGCGGCGAGGGTTTCTGACAGTATCTTCTCTGTCTGTTTATCGCAAGAGATATCAAACAGTCAGCCTAGTTCTGAGGCAGCAGTTAGTTAGGCTGATGCCGTTCCAGACAGCTGTCATGGAAACAGATGTCTGTTCGGTTACAAGCTGCAGCTTTGCTCCCGTGGTAACGGCTTGCCGGTGCCTTTGATTGTGCCTCGCTGTGCCTGCTCCGAATGTGGCTTCCATTGAAGTCCCTGCACAAAGAGGCCTCATCGTGTGATTGTTGGATTCATTAGCGGAAATTCCCCTACACTTCCTTCCAGATTTGAGGGCCCGAGTCAGCTGTGACATGGTTTTTGAAGAGAGCAGAGACCAGATGTGCTGTAATGATGGGGTGTTTTTGGTGTGCCTCCTCCTTCCCTTAATCTCCAACAAATTATCACTGTGTTTGATTATCAAACAGCCTTCAGATGAGTTCTAAATGTTACCAGTTGGAAAATCTACCTTCCATAAACATTACAAAATGAGCTAATCTACATTCCCCATTAGGCTTGAGGATAGTTTTCATCTTCAGATCCAACAATACGACTTGCAAAGAGACAATCTGCCACACAAGGTAGGCTCAAGAAACCTGAAGCTGTGAAAGGTTACGAGCACTAAATTCTCCTTGTTTTCACCAGGCAAGGACAATCGGAGTCTCCTGACCTATGATTTATTGGGATGTTGACCGCACATCCCGCTCTGAAGGTCTTGGATCTCAGCGGGAATTCAGAGCCGTGCTCTGCAAGCGAAAGTCAGGACTGACCGCGCCGAGGCCCTAGTGTTGAGATTCTCACCTCTGTTTATTTCACGAAAGAGAAGATGCCTTCACTCCTCCCCAGCCTGCTGTGCAGCTTATCTGTATTTAAGACAACACTCAAGGCATATGTCTAGACGCAGGCTTAAAGCAGAGAATCGGACAGGACAGTTATATAGCTTGAGATAAACGACAGCACTAAGAGAATTTCTGGAGCAATGAACATGAACAACAGGCCAAGGCTCTCACTATATAATGAAAATTCTGTCATAATTTACTAACCCTCATGTGTTTCCAAACCTTTATGACCTTCTTTCCTCTTTGGTATTTTCATGAGACTTGTGGTCAAAAAACATCTGACTTTAGACTAAAAAATAAATAAAAATAAAAATGATATTTTTGTGTTCAACAGAAGAAATAAGTCATAGATTTTGAACATGACTAAATGACAGAATTTTCATTTTTGGGAAAAAAAAAATATTCCTTGAAAATGTTTCCTTGAAATCCTTCTGTGTAAATCATTTCGATAGGTTTAAATATTAACTGGATAAAGCGAATTGGATGAAGATCTCCTCAGCTATGAAGAAAACTGAAAAGAAAAAAAAAAACTAAAAAGAATAAAACCAGAATACTTAGTTTAAATATCACAGGTGAAGGTGGGAAAGGCTCAGTAATAAGAGAGAAAAGCTAGATTTTTGTAAAGATAAAATCTGTAGTCTACTCTTTTCAGCATGAACTGCAGTGACTCCTGCTGTTCATACTGAGGCATTTCAGCGCTGGTGCATTTGAGAGCCATGACCATTTCTTAACTGAAAACACCTTGCTGAAAACAAGAGCAAGATGATGCATTCAGAGATAAAGAATCAATAATACATTACGGTGGCAGAATATTAGCCAGGTTGGAGACTTACACCGGTACACTCACTACAATTATTTTTGTCACTTGTAATGCATCCAAAAATGTTCTAAGTGCTTATGTTTCTGAGAGATGGGGAAAATAAGTACCAGCAATCAATCTCAGGAACAAATATGACAATTTAATTGACAGAACAATCATAAAAAACATTTTGGATAAGCACTGCTCTTCAGAAAAGAAGAAATCTTGTTTCGAGTGTTATTTAGAATATTACAACACTAGCCCAACAAAATAAAAAGAAAAAGTACATTAGCCATCAAGGGTAAACAAACTACAACCTCATCCTAGGCACCTAAAACAAAATGTAGCATTATAAAATGAACGTGGCAACAGTGGACTAACACAAGGGCTTTGCTGCTCCCTCCCTGGACAGTCTGTCTGCTTCCTCATTGCCTGTATAGCCAGCATGACCTGGAATGTGCATCTAGAAATGAGGAATAAGAGAGATGGTAAATTTCTTCATTTGTAGTCATTTCACTGGCCATGCCATGCGTTTGTTTCATCACTCGTTGCATAATGCCAAGCATGCATTAGAACATCTGAAAGTGAGCTGCAGGGTTCTGACATGGATACACGGTCCTCAAAAAATTGTAGCAAAAATGCAACAATTAAAAAAAAAAAAAATAATAAATATTAATGTGAATATGAAACAAAATTATAATAAATAGCTATTGTAGCTAGGGGTGCAACGGTTCAACTTACTCACGGTTCAGTTTATATCACGGTTTTAGAGTCACGGTTTCGGTACAGTTCGGTACGTGCTGTGTTTAGGGAAAAAACTATAGTCAAATAAAAATAAAGAAAATAACAAATAATCTAACTACAAGCAACAGCACAAATAAATGCAATAGAGCAAAGATACAAATAAAATAAACACTGCTTTTCAGGTTTTTTAGGTAGGTCTAACAGTTTTTAGGTACAGAAATTGAATAAAATAATTAAATGTAAAACTAAATTGCATATTTGACTGTATAAATTAAAAATGATTCCTTATTAAAGTTACAAAAGTTATTCAATAAAGAGCAGCGAGTGATTTCCGCGTTGTTGCGGTTTAATTAACTTTAAGAAAGTGCTGTCACTTTAAGAGAACGCACTGATCCAGTGCACTGATACTGTATGTTCAGCCGACTATGTCTGCTAGGATACTCACCAAGACGGGCATTTTGATCATTTTTGTGTGAATTTGTCCATTCAAGCACAATACTTCAAAAAGAGCTTAATATTTGCGCGCGTTCTGAGACGTGGGTTCACGCGCTTCGGATAAGCGCACACACAGATCTTCTCACTGCACGTGCGAGTTCGCGTCATCTGGCTCTTTAATATTTAAACTGGCAAGGCTTAAATGAGTTTAGTTTAAACACAGATAGCAACGTGTGCTGTTCTGGTCTCACCTGCGCTATCGACACGTGATGACGGCATAAATGACAGTTATTCCAGCATACAGCACCCGCATTGAACAAAGAGTGACTGGTTTGTCCACGTATTGTTTTTTCTCTCTCATCGCTCTTGTTGTAATGTATTGGGAAGCCAGAATTTGTATCCATCAACAGAAACATGCATTAGCCGAACTCTAACAAACCATATTACAGATGCATTGTCAGATTTAAGTTGAACCGTGGTCCTAGTGCATGCCGAACCGTGTGTGGAGAACTGTACGGTTCGATTTTTTTACCGAGAACCGTTGCACCCCTAATTGTAGCCTGTAGGTATCTCTCAGTTTCTCAAAGTTCTGGCATAGTCTTCAATATATGAAAGTTAGATTTAATACTTGGATACTGATTTAATATTGTTGGAGCTGGACTCTGTAACTTAATTTATTCATTTTTTTCTGACACTGTGTGTCATGTTTGATTGTAAAGTGCTAGTAACTATAGTTATCCAGCCAGTTTACATCAATACCAAATTTTGAACAAGAACTGCAGTATATTCACTATCCTACATTCAGAAGGAGTTAAAAGATCACTTCTAGACAATATAATGACTATAAATCACAGCATTCTTAATAGATCAGCTGCTCTGATATTACATTCCCTCCTTAATTACCTGCATCAGCAAAAATTATGCAGATATGCAAGACATCTCTCTTTGTGTGCGTTTATCAAAAATGATAGAGTGAAAGTCTACAACTGCACCTTTACATCCTAAAAGAATGTTTACACACAAAGGTTGGGACATCATGCTTGAAATGCACAAACTGATGAGCAGATGCCATATTGCAGGGCTCCAGACTAACTTTTGAGAGCAGTGGCACCAGTGCCACTAAGTTCTACAGATGGTGGTGCCAGAAGCAGATTTGGTAGCGCTGGGGGGTGGTGTGTGCGGGTATTAAAAATAAAGATAATTTAATCATAAAATGACTATTGTTTTGCATTAATAAGTGCAGTTACTAATAATATTATGCGTTTAATTCTTGTTAATGTACATTTGACAGTAAATCATTGAGCTTGAGTTGGGAAGCATACAAAAGTAACATGCAAAATGTAATTTCATATGGAAAATTGATCATTTCTACTCTTATAAAATTTCGACTTTTATTAAATGAGTACCATCATTTTTCTATAGTATGACACAGAACTGACCAACAACTTAAGTGATTATAAATGGATCACTCTTTATGTGATTGTCGCAAATTGAAGTTTATTTAAGGCATTTTGTGACTTTTCTTACATCATACACAAAAAGTGCAAAATTGACAAAATATGATTTATTGATGATTTGATATTTTATAATAGTGATTTTATAATTTCTAAATATAAAGCAAAACATAGAAATTAATGACTAATAAGCCAATATGTGCTTCTCTGCTGCCATCTACTGGTTATAGAGGTAATTTTATGTATTTTTGAATTTTACATAAGTGATTGTTTACCACAAATAATATTTTGGTTATCCCATTAAAACAACATTTAATTAGGATCATTTTTAGAGCTCTAAAGTGCTGAAAATAGTTGTGTGAAATGCCTGAAAGTCACTGAAAAGTGCTTGAATTTCTCTCTCAAAAGGTTGTACAAACCCTGAAAGGAATAATGTAATAACATTCAACTATTTCTGCCTCAACACCATGGTTATAGTCAGCGTTACTACTTCTGGTTTTCTACGCACTGTTTAAGGTTTATATTTTGTGCAGAATCTGAATGCTTCTCACTAGATCTAGATCATTCTGCGGCGAGTTCAAATGCTTCTCACTGGATCTCACAGTGCTGTGCTGTAATAGTCATGAGATCAACACTGGCCCTGTCCCAAATGGCACACTTCATGTGCACTTTCAGTCTTGAGGACTTACAATGGCCGCTGCGTACACGTGTCCGTTAAGTCCACGAGACCATAGGGTGTCCCATTCGTCATTTTAGCGTTCAGAAGGGTACTCGCGAGTGCCCCCTTTGAGGCCGCTATGTGCCCTCGATGCGCACTTCTGCTGAGCCCACAAGCCTGTGAGCTACGCAGCCGACTTCTACCCGGCAGTCAAAGCGGCATTACATCACGAAAGTGCAGACTCTGAGGAAGACCGAGAGGGTTTAGGGTGCCATTTGGGACAGGGCCAGATTCCTGAGTAAACCTGTTCTGAGCTCAGACCTGGTTTGCTTGCGCTGCACTCAATTATTGATCCGAGCTGATAATCGGTCCGCGCTGCGCAGCTCAAATGAGTAGCGCTGTTTCGTTGCACTTTTGTTTTGTTTGCCGTTTGAAGTTTCTCATATGCAACAGAAATAACAGAACTTATTAACTGGGCAATGCGGTGGTCGTGCCAGTGCGACCGCTCACAAAAATGAGTCGCACCAGCAGAAAAAATGGTCGCAAAATGCAACCATTTGGTCACAGTCTGGAGCCCTGTATTGTACATCACTGCGAGTACAGATAAAACATACCCATACGACCTCAAGTTCTGCATTTAGTTTATCCAACTTTTGGAAGTCGTCCTTGTTGACTATCGCCCCACCACCTTTAAGCCTCCAGCCATTAGACTTCCAAGTCTTAACCCAACTTGTAATGCCTTTGGAAAGCAAAAAAAGTAACTGCACAAATATTGAAATAAATAAACTCAAAATTACTATTTGTAAGTTACTTGTATGTATGAGAGTGTGTGTGTGTGTGATATATATATATATATATATATATATATATATATAT